TCGTCACTCGATTGTTTTAAAAGCCAACATTGCTTTGTTGACACACACACACAGACAGCCAGCCACTCAGCCACCCGCACATATATGGTGGCCATAGTAAAACATTTAAGCCTTTCAATTGGCCGTGCTGAGATGCAATTTGTCAATGCGAGTGCCGTCGACCGTTGGGCCATTGCATCCAACTATTAGTTGCCTAATGCAGTTTTTGTGTTACAAGTAAACTCCTGAATAGAAGATGCATTCCGTTTTTCTCCAAGTACTAACTTCATACAAAAGTAGTAACATTGACTAGGCAATTCGATTTGAGAAACAACCATCTACCTTTAAATTCTTTAAATTATTTATTTTATCTCAAAAATCTGCTATTAGTTTTTGGAGATTTATTAAACATTTTCATTAGCATTCAATCCCTTGACATAAAATCGAAAAAAATATTTTTGTCTTTGTCCAATAAACTGAAAATTACTTTTTTGCCTTAATTATTTGGAAATAAATTCCATTTAATTTATTTATTCAAATATGTCAAAAGCTTTTAAGAAAACGCCATATTTTATCTACAGAACTCAGAAATGCTAATATTCATTTTAGTTTTATAAACTGTTATGAACTATATTTTTTATGTTAAATTTAATTGAGTAAGTAGTGAGTTTTTAGTACTTTGTGTATGCTCTCGAAATTATTTTCTTTTTATGTGTTTATGTTTATATGTTTTTTTATTAGAATTCGCTTTTGTAAACCTCTTTTATTTGATACACAATCGCAAGATTAACCCAATTCAAGAAACAAGCTTTAATACAAATATTCTCAAATGGATTCCCTTTAACCAAAGATATTTGATCGACTTTCCTTTGCCCCAGACCACACATTGTTGTGTGTGACTTGAGGCGGAGGAATGTGGGTGCCACAGACATTTCCGCTATGTATTTCGACTTGAGGCATTTGCAAGATGATGGATAATGGCATTCAATTTGCGAAATTGCTCGGCTCGAGTTCGATTCCTTGTGCGTCCTTGTCGAGTGTCTGGCTTAAATAGTTACGTCAATTAATTTACAACGCATTGTCAGTCCGTTGTCGTGTGCATTATAAATGATTTGTATGCGCTGGCTGGCTGCCTTTGGCTTCCCCTTGCGTGTTCATTAGCCGTCAGAAGGCCGGGGGCATGCGTTTATGGGTCAACTGCTGTGCTGTGACCTCGTTTGTGGGTTAACCCTAAACCTTACCCGCCTTCATTTCGATTTTGAACTGGAGGAGGAAATCGCAACGACGATGGCGGGCGACGACTCTTCAAACTATTTGCAGTGCTTTGCTAATTTTCATTGCCCCACTTAAGTGAATGGCATGCCCACAAAAGCCCTTTAAATATTCATGGGCCAGAGTTGAAGTCGAGTTAAATGACACAAACCCACTTGCAGCGCTGGCAGGCAACGCTCTTATCAATTATCAATTAACCTAAATTTAAGCCCCTGCGATTTTGGCACGGCCAATGACAGTCGGCTCCGGACTCGTTCCCTCCCGGGCAGGATGTCATCTGAAGTCGTCGTATGTGCCAGCTGAAGCCGGAGCAAAATCAGACGCGCAACGAAGATGGAACGTTTTCCAAACGGAAGTCGACAGCCGCCTTCGCAGGTGACTGGCTGGATAACTTTCTGATTAGTGTGAGAGCACTCTCAGCTGTTGAAGTGCCTCTTGCCAAAATTCGCGGGAATTGGCAAAGGGATTGATACCTTTTAGACTGTGTTTTTGCTACCGAAATTTTTGTTGGTTTTTAAATCATTAAATGTAAATGTTATTAAATGTTTAATTAATTATAAAAAAATAAACGTAACAAAAGACATTTTTGGGACACCCGTGATTGGAAGAATTTTACCTCAAAGCTATTTATCAATTTATTTATTTATTATAAAAACATTTTTTTAAGAAGAAGCATACAAGCTAAATGAATTCAAAGGAGATTCTATTTCTTGTTTTTCCACAATTTGAGTTGAGGTCTCCTATTTTTCCATAATATTGCTTGGCGTTAGCTCTGAAATGGGAAACGAAAACAACCTTCTGCTCGGTGCAGAACTATTATTTTGACCGCATTTATATGCGGGCGGGGTGAAATTTCCGGATCTTTTGGCTCTGACGACCCTTGACAATAATCATTTTCATTACTGTAAAATGTCAACAGTGTCAGCAAGTCCCCTCGAGCATCCTTTGCTCCGCTCTTCTCTTCACTCCACTCCACTCCACTCAAGGCAGGACATGTAGTTGAAATTTGATGATGCAGCAGTGCTCGAGCAGCAGGAGCAGAAAAACAGCAGCTGGCGGTGCTGATGCTGTGACGAGCAAAAGGATCCATTCTCCATCCCAGCCAAATCTAAAACAAACAGCCGAACTGAGCTGCGTTTAGATGAGAGTCGAGTTGAGCCGAGTTGAACTGAGCTACACTTTCAAGGCGAAACATTGACAACAACCCACTAGGTGGGATGTCGCCCCGGGGCGGCATTTTGCAGCTACTTTTGCTCCCGCATCCTTTCTATGCCCGCTGCCATGTCCTTTGGCTATGGCCAAAAAAAAAAAAAAAGGAGGAAACAGAGTAGCGACGTCTAGAAGACGTGCATTTGCTCAAGTGGAAATGAATTGAACTCGGGCAGCAGCAAAGCATCAGCAGCAGCAGCAGAATGCAATCTCATTCTCTTGTCAACTTAACCTCGACTGCCAGGATGGCATCGAGTCGTCGATGACGCCTGGCTGTGCCATTTGTTGTTCCTGCCATTGTCGTCAGAGGAGCAGCCATTTGGAGACGGAAAAGCACAGTGGGTCTCAAATAAAAGCGATAGATATAGGAAATTACCTTTATTATAGTTAAGTGTTAATCTTTAGACGTATAATTCTGAAAATAGATTATCATAAAAGTTTTTTAACTGCTCTTTGTCTTTGAGGCATTCGGAAAAGCAAGGTCATAATCATATAAATTTGCGACTGAGAAAAACAAGAAGACAAACCAAATTAATAATTGCATTTCATTCATTGTATGACTATTGTAGGTTTTAGTTCTCAGTTATTTTCGTGACTTATATTAAGAATTATTTTAATATTACTTATGTTGCCTGATTATAGAATAATTTTTATAGAAACAAAGCTGCTAATTGAGCCCTAACTAGTCAGGAAAAAGTTCAACTTGGAATTAATTATAAGTTTGAAGTTTTAAGTTCTGTTGCTACTTTCAAACATGCTAAGTAAATACTGCTTGACCATTTTTGGCGAAATTTCTTCTCTGTGCAAAGAATTGAATTGTTCTGAAAAGATTCCTATAAGATTTCTCAGCTCAATGGAAATTTATCTGCTTTGATATATCTCTGTGCGAGTCCACTGTGTGGACTATTGTTTGTGCGTCTGTTCTGCCTTTACTGCTGCTCGATTTTTTCTTTAAACAATGGCCCGGGCATTTTTGATTGTCAAATGTTTGCAGAGATAACATTTACTATTGCGGATTTGCAGTGGAGCGTAGAAGATGCCATTCCGACGACAGCACTGGAAAATGGTGCGAGTGCTGTAAGCGTTGCTAAGCTGCCCCTCTTCCGCATATAATATATATATAAATTTATATATATATACGTTTATACGAGGGTGATAGCATCAATTTGTAATGATCTTATAAGTGCTTGTATTGTGCTCTTGTCTGCAGCCATTCTTCCTTCCTTTCTTCCTGTTTGCGGTTTATAAACAAATGTCTCGGAAAAGTTTCCGCCAGTCAATTAAACGGCAATTAGAGAGACTCCATTGTGTCAGCATCCAAGTTCGGGAGTTTGGGAGCTTGGGAAATTGGGAGCTCAGGAGTCGGGGTGTGTCAAATTCACACTGCTCCGCATTTCAATTAAAATCCAATTTCCCAACGGAAGTGCTTAATTATTGGATATTAGCCTTAGAGCTCTACTCAGTCAAGGACTCTTGACACCCGATTCTGCAAGCTGACAAACAATTTCCTGAAAGTTGATCGATAGCTGTTGGTGGCATTAATTGAATGCTCTTTGGATTTGGATATTGGGTAATTTTTGATATAGAGAGGTTCTTTCATCCAGTCTCTGGTTACACGTGCACGTGTCGGTAATACTGTTCTGAATTTTACGCTAATTGAAATGGCAATCGAATTACTTTGCGACTGAGTCTGCGGCATAAGGCATAAAGTCCAATGAAAATATAATCACATTTATGCAGTTTTTATGCCATAAATGTAAATATTTTCGTTGTAAACATGTGAATGGTGTATGGCGAATGGTGAATGGTGAATGGCGAGTGCTCATGCCGGGAATTACGAGTATGACTGGCCGTCAGCGACAGCCGCCGGTCATGGCTGAATAGCCATAACGTCATATACAGAGAGAGATACAGATACAGACCCTGATATGGATACAGATACAGCACAGATGCGGATACAACTGGACCGACTGTCTGCGTCAGTCTGCTGTGGTCCTTTCGCAATGTCCTTTGGATGGTCGGCCCGCCTGCATGCGATTCCATTTCGAGTTCATTGAATTTGCGCAGATTTCTTCTTTTCATATATTTTGGACCGTTTTCATGCCCCCATGGATAGTGCATTAATGAGAGCAATAAGAGCGAATTGTAGCGTGAAATTTATGAAATCAAAATCCCACTTACATAAACGACAGCAGGATGTGCATAAATGTATTTTTGATATAATTGCATTTTCTGCTCCAGTACCTTGCTCTCCGATGATTGCGTAATTTAATAGTTTTACCGTGGCTGAATAATTGGTTTTAGGTAATATTATTGACATGTTGACTTCAGCTGTTGCATTATTAATGCAAACTGAAGAGGCAGCGTTTCCGTTTTTCGGCGGAAACCCGCTTGAAATTCCCATCACATGTACTAACTACTCCTCTATGATAAATGATATGGGCCAGCAGATGTGTGCTTGTGCTTGTGCTTTGTGCGTTGATGTCACGTCCTGATCATTAATTATATGAACTTGTTTTTGCTCTTGTCTCTATTTGCAGTTCAGCGAGCAGGCGGATAAAGGTATACAAACAAAAAACCCTTCGAATTTACGACCCGGGCGTGTCGAATTTGACAAGAGTAGCGTATCGGCGGCCCAGACAACCATAATCTCTCCCAGGTTACGGCCATGATTAGTCCAGAAGGAGACGGGACCACCTGACCAGCTGAACATCTGACCAGTTGACCTGCTACCCTGCCGACCGCACGTAAGCCAGTGGCAAAGTAAAACTTTTAACGAAAACTGACAACCGCAATGACCAAAGTGTCATAAATCCATAAATCCATAACCGAGCGTCAACAACATCAACAAACAGTTTGTTGTACGACCTACGACATGTGACGGCGCTCAGGACTGCACACAGAGAAAAGTCCGCAGCAATATCAGCTTGATTTATCTTATCAATTTGGTTATACAATTTGACTCTGACCACAAAATAATTGCAATCTTATCAGTTTGATCGATATCAAGTGTTAATATAAATAACAAATATTTCGTGGTTCTGCAAAAATCTCTAGAGATTAAATTAGTGAGCGAGTAAAAAATGTACTGAAGAGCAAATGCAAGAGAATAATATTGAATGTTTAATAAGAGAAAACTTAATAACAATACTTGGGTATTATTTGCAAAATAATAAAATATGAAGAGGTTTTAAATATCTAGTAAGGGATTCTTAAAGTAAGACTCGATATTTTTGAAACACAAAATCTTAATAGCTTTTTTTTCAAAGAAATTTGTTGGACTCTTTTAGAGAAAAGAACTAAGACCATTCAGAAACTTCTGTATTTTTGACTGTTTTTTCACTGTGCAGAGTGCAGGCCCTCGGGGGAGTGTCAGCTTGGCGGCCAATGAACTAAATAACCCTCAATCCCCAATCGGGGAGCGGATGAGGGAGGTCGCTAGACAGGCGGTACACGGCAGAGGAGCGGGCCAAAAAGCTCTCATGTCAACCGCAGTCGGCGGACTGGCAGACAAACATATTGGCGGCGATGGATTCGATGCTTCCCTGCCACTCGAATCTCGTCTCGCGTCTGCCAGATAAAATGAAGTATATCACTAGCTAGTAGTCGTTGTGTTTGTGCTGGGTCATGTGTGTGGAAAAACAAAACACTTTTCAGCAGGACAACGACAACGACAACAAGAACTTACATGGGGGCGGAACAATATTGTTTGTGTCGAAGTTTATCGATAAGTTGTCGTCGTCGTAGCTCCCTGAAATCGCAAAAGCAGAAAAAAAAAAAACTCGCACTGTGGCGCATAAATTAAATTTCTCGTCGCCGTCGACGCGTGCCCATAAAAAATCATAAAAATATATTAAATTTATACGTAGTGCTTACACATAAGATCGCTATGAATTCATAAATTCTCGCCGAGCAGTCGCCGCTGCCGTCCTCATCCGCATTCCCTGCCACAAGCAAAACCGTGGCCACAACCGCAGCATAACAACGGCATTGACAGTTAAATGAATGACTATGGGGGCAATGCCGTAGTCGAAGCCGGTGGCGATGCCGATACCGATGCCGATGCTCTAGCCGGAACTGAGGAGAGTCCTCCTTGAGCTCTTCAGTTCCTGCTGCGGTGTATGTGCACTTAAAAAAAATTACATCAATTATAATTGTATTTATTTTTTGAACTACACAAATTAGTAAATTTCTGGTTAAAGTTTTAATAGATTTTGGAATCTATTTTCGCAGATCTAAATTTAAAATAAATAAACTAGAATTCTACTTAGGTACTTTTATCTTTCAAAAGTTAAATTCTACCCTAATTGTTAACTAATAAGCGAAACTGTTGATAATTAATTTTGAGACTTTAAATATCATATAACAAATTTATTTGAGACTTATTATATATCGTATATATATATATATATCATATAACAAATTCCTCAATCTAACAATTTTTAAATTTTAAGCTCTTACCACAGCTTCCACAGATTATAATGTTTTAATAAATCATCTTATTACCATTAATTTGTTGATGCTTATAAGCTTGTCTTTTGTTTATCCAAAAAAGTGTTAATTGCTTTTAAAATGGTGGATAATGGCTTAGAATTTGCGGCTTCAGTTAGTTTTAAACACAAGAAAAAAGTCGAGTATTTTTTTCAGAGTGCGGACGTGGATGTTGGTCCGCCTGTGGCTCGTGCTTCTCCATCTTGTTTTGCTACGTTTTGTTTGCTTGGGTATAATTTATGCAAATCTGTTAAAGTTTTGCCGTCATCGGGAAAGTTGCCGCTGTCAGTGGCGCTGCATAGTTTTATGCTCCTTCGCAATTGCTGGGGGACCGAAGTGTATATTCAATTTGCGTTTGTCTCGTACGAGACTCTGGGAATTGAATTGAACACATCAAATCTGGTATTCTGATTTCGGTTTCTTGTTGTTTTGCCATGTGGTTCAGAGCTAAGGAATGGAAAACTAACCAGAGTTGGTTCAACATAAAATGTTCAAGTTTATCATTTGCATTTGATGCGCTATTATTCGCATATATGAAATGGTTTTTGGTTTCAAGTTGTGGGATTTGAGCTGTAGCTAGTTATGTAACTTTTATCAAATATATAATTGTTATATAAGTCTTTTTGTTTTGGAACTTAAGATATTTAAAATTATAGTTATAATTTTATGATATGGCAATGAATTAAATTAAATCCAGAATTAACCAAAATTTAGTGGGTAACAATCTAGTCTAATTTTGAGCCTCCTCTTCGGAACTTTTTGTTGCCGTCATTAATGTAATAAATAAAATGGGATTCCCGGGCCCGCGAACCCATGCATATATAAGTGCGTACAATAGTTTTACCGTTATATCCTTGTTTTTGTTGTTTTTGACGTTGACATCGGAGCAGTTTCGTCGACTTCGAAGAGGGTCCATGGAGATCCAAGGTCCTGTTTTTAATGTTTTTATGCTGCTGGCAGTTGCTTGAGCTTTGCCGCAGTTTCGCTGAATAGCTTCATATTTATGCAAAGTTATGCGGCCTAACAGATAAGTCGGCAAAGTTTTTGCCCCAGCAAAGAAGGGCCTAGATAAGGTGCGGTCAGGATATTGGAGCGGAAAGCAATCGAAGAGTAGTCCGAGAGAAACTTGGTTGCTTGATTTGCATGAGGGACAGATTGTGGTGTGGTGTCCATGATCCATGGGTATTTCCAACTATATATCCTACTGGATGGATGGGCCTTGCCTAGTTATTTATGTGCGGCCCAGGGTCCGTCCTTCACTGCACTTTTAATTTCACATGACAAACTGTTCCTTCCTCTGCCATTCTTCTGACAAAATGTGGGACAAACTTTGGCTCTACTCGCTCTCTGGTCTCTGGCAAACTTGTTCCAGTTTGCGTATACGCAACAAAGGAGCTGCCGCAGGCCCGCAGAACTCCCTGAATACTAAGTAAAAGCGCTCTTCCCTCCCGCCCGAACCAGACCATCTGCCACTCTAGCTAATTCCAAATTATATTAAAAACTTTCGGCTGTGTGTTTCCTTTGCCTTGCTTTTTCATTATCTGACGACCAACAAAGAAGAGCCTTGGTGAAAAGGATGAATATGAAAAATTGCTAACAAACTACGAGAGTCCCAGGAATAAACTCTCTTCTGTAAATGCGACCCCGTTAAAGTCCAACGCTGTTTGCATTGTCCGCTTGTTGCTCCCAGAAAAGTGGGGGATGAGCCGAATTACCCTTTTGCTGGCCCCCATTTTGGGGTCAAAGGCGTTTTGTAATTCGACACTTGGCCAACAGTAATCTTCGGCATTAGTTGCACTGTACTTCATTTGCCCACTGGCAACTCAGTTGCTCGGAGAAACTGCCACGTGATGCTCGGTCGCTCGTTTTACACTGACCACAGTCGCCAAACAAGGTTAAGGGATGGGTACATAGAGAAAATTATTGCGCGAATTGGTTAAAATATATAATTAAAAGACAATAACTTCATATGTCTTATAACACTTCTAAAATAAATACTCTTATTCTGTGATTTATTAATATTAAAATTGTAAAAGTTTTTAATTTAAGTATAAATATGCGGTTTTTAGGAACTATTTGGAATTTTTCAACATCTGTCAACATATTAAAGACTTTAGTCTGAAGGATCAACCAGTTTTTAATAAGCAAACTTAGGATTTGTGAAAAACCTTTTAAACCATTATTTTAGACTCTCTTTGTTATTCTGGGACTTCCCTACAATTGGAATACTTTTAAATATAATGGTATAAATCATATCAATAAGTTTACTAACATTTAAAGAGCCAAATTTTTATAAAGGACCTTGTTTGGTCCTGTTTTTATTTGTGCATGTAAACAACGACAAGCAAAACCCAGGACAACGTGCCTTCCTCACATTGATTTTCCACCCATTTTCCTCGCCGCTCTTGTGATTTTCCTACCTGTCCCCTTCGCTCCGCTTTTGCTCTGGCTGGCAGCACTTGACTGACCTCTTAAATTCGTTTAATGTTTAGTTAGGTCGAGCTTAGGCCCGTGCTCCGGCTGACAGGTCACGCTGACCTGGCGGCTCCGGCTCCCAAATTAATGGCCGGGCTGAAGTGCTCTAAATTTTCCATTTTTTTTTTTTACCGGGCGCACATTTCCTTTAATGAGTTTTGGCCCTGCAGTTTTGTATTAAGTGTTCTCGAAATGTAATTATGCGATTTCTGGGGCCCCCTGCTCTTCTGTATGGCAGTCATCTTCATAGACATTTATTTAATAAACTCGCATCCGTGCAATGCCCCGCTCGGTGGTGCCATGAAAAATGCAATTAAATACTTTCGGCTATTAAAATAAAAACTTTCCGCCGTCCCAAAAGTAGGTACACGGATGCCAAAAGGGTTGACTCGTCGGTGGTGTGGCTGTGGGATGGAAATGCATTCCGCGCTGTTGCTGCAGTGGTCGCCCTGGTGTGACCTAATAAAAAAATTATGCCAAACGAAAGTGAACGCCCAATGGCAGCGAGTGCAAGGGAATGGAAGCGGGTTGACCCTGTGCAAATTTCACAGCCGCCAGTGGGGCAGAAGTCTGCGGGAAAACGAAATGTACGTACT